GAGACTGGGGAACATGAAGCCAAAGCAGCAGGGAGAGGTTATCGAGACGGTAAGCGCCAGAATGGATTTTAAATACTGATTTGATTTCAGCATCCTGAAACCAATTTTTAAAATACATTTATTGGACTAATGGTAGAATTAGGTAATACTACACTTTTGCTAGAATAGCTCATTTTGCCTCCGTTTATTTAAATGTATTCAAGGAATTGTATATCTTAAGGTTACCAGATATTTTTCAATGAATCCGGGGACACTTTTCAACTTCAAGAGGGGAAATATATTGTGTGCTTGTTACAGATAATATACAACTTGATGTTAAAGAAGTTCACTTGCAAATGTTGCTGTGAAAGTGTAAATGACAACGTGCTTCTTTTTGATTGCTCAGGAGATGTCATACTAACAAATTAAATCTCTCTTAGTCTTCTGTGCCATTTGCCTAATAAGCTTGGCTTCCAGTTTAAGAATTGGTATAACAATAAGGACTGCAACATCTCCAGAAAGAAAATTATATGAAAATTAAAGCTGACATTTTAAAATGTTATAAAGGCTTGAGTAATGTTTAGCTGATTTATGAAGTCAGTTCAGCCATTACTACTAATAGTCATAGCATATTCTTATGGTAGGCTTTTTACATGTGAAAATTCCAGCCATTCCAAATGCCCCAAATAATGCAAATGAATCTGATATTCACTGCTGCTGAACGGATTCCCCAGGACCCTCTGAGAGGAGTAAAACACAGCTATGTTGTCTGCTTAAAGAACAAAGGTGTTTAGGAACAACACTTTCATTAACCAGATTCTAAGGGTTGCATTCAGTGTAGAGGGAAGCTGATTGTTCCATCACGCAAAGGATTTCTCTTTGCAGAACAGAACAATTTCCTTTCCTCCTCCCCCTAAATATGTTTTGAGGGTTCAACAAACCTTCTAAAGCAGATTGAGGGATGGTACGTGGTGTTCATGGGGGAGGGAGGGGGAGATCCCCTTTACTAGCGCTAATCTTTGCGTTAGCAGGAAAAAATTGTTGAATACCACCCAGGATCCTGATCACAAAGGGGCTTACACTAAACTGGAAGCTGAGCTTATTGGACCAAGAGGGATTTAACTTATTAGCATGACTTCTCTAGAGCGATCTAAAAGACAATTCAGACAGCACTTCACTCCATTTTCCATACATTTCCTTAACCTGATAATTTCCCATGTTTTACGTAATCTTTCACATGATGTAAAAGTCACTTCTGGAAATGTAGCAGACTCTAGTGGAAGTTTAGTGCTCATTTCCATGTTAATTGCTTCCATTTGCAACCCTGTTAACCTGGAAAACTGCAGGAGTTTTGCACTGTAATTTCCCTGAAGGTTTCATGCCGTTGCTGCTCACTTGATGAAATTTGGGGCGGTCTCCTGCCATTTTGGGGGGGGGTGCATATCACAGGGGGAACAGAAGCACATATGTGGATAGAGAGTGGTGGTGTTGGCATGTCCAGTGACACCCACTGGGGTGAATAAAAGTTAGCGTGACATGGTGGGGTAGCAATTAAAAAAACCACACAGTGTCACAATACAACAGGAACTGCAGTGTAAAAGGGATGTCAGAAACCAGGAACGTAAGTGCTAGCATTAAAAGGAGAATTAATGTCATAATCCCAACATCTGAATGAACCCAAAGATGCATGTTGCCATTAATGCTGTCACAGAAGCAAGATGACATTGCCACAAATACTTTCACAGGAGCAGGAACTTTCTCAGTACCAAGTTGTAGATTATCTGTAACTATACACAACACAATCTGATCCCTTCCCTGGCACAAAACTCTGTAGATATAAGATGCCCTGCATATGTCTGAACAAAGAGGCAAAGTCAAACATTCTTGCTAAAGAATGTACCATCTCATTCTACAATTAGTCTACTTTTTTTAAAACACACACGCTTTATTTTATTTTTTTAAAGGAGCACAAAAATCACATTTACAAATAGAAGAAATAATGTACAGTGGTGCCCCGCAAGACGAATGCCTCGCAAGACGAAAAACTCGCTAGACGAAAGGGTTTTGCGTTTTTTGAGTCGTTCCGCAAGACAAATTTCCCTATGGGCTTGCTTCGCAAGACGAAACGTCTTGCGAGTTCTTGCGAGTTTGTTTCCTTTTTCTTAAAGCCGCTAAGTCGCTAATAGCCGCTAAGCCGCTAATAGCTGTGCTTCGCAAGACGAAAAAACCGCAAGACAAAGAGACTCGCGGAACGGATTAATTTCATCTTGCGAGGCACCACTGTAGCAAGGTTAATATACAAATAACTTATTCATTTCCCCAGGTATTGTGGGTTATGTCCAATGAAATTGTACTATTCATGTTGGGATTTCTGCTTGTACAATAGAACTCCCCTCTCCTCTCTTCTTCCACATACGTGTTGCAGGGTGTTGGGGGAAACCCAGAACAGATTTGGTGGGAGGGTTGGGGAACGAAGGAGAGGGAGTGGAATTTCCGTTGTACAAGAAGAAGAGCTTGCATGAACGGAACACTCTTGTTGAATACAACTCTGTACCTTGGTTGTTTTTTTTAATCTATTGCTGTGATAATGATTGTTTTAATTGCTCTGTATTTCGCTTGGTTTATATTTTAATTGTACTTTTGTAAGCCACCTTGGAATCTTGTTCTTATGAGGGGTGTTTAATGACAAACAAACAAATCCTGCCATGCTGTTATCATATCAGAAAAAATTGCACCTGCCAAAATTCTCCTTTCTGCACAACTCTAAAAGCCCATGTTTCATTCTAAATCTGGCAATCCTAGTTAATTCTAGAAGCAATTTTGTTGTGGATTGAAATGAAAGATACTTTGGACTTCAGATGAACAAAGCAGTGAGTGAAAGATTCCTGTTGTCTCAGTAAAGGCTTTAAACCTCTTAAGAAATGAAGACACGCAGCATAACAATCTAGTAGATGGCAGGGAAATAATAACAGGATAAAAGTAGAATAACTAGGGAGAAAATCCCTTCAGCTCAATAACTGATTGTAAATTCAATCTCAATGGATGGCTGCTGTCTTGAGTCTTCCAATAAAACTGAATTATTAAATCAACATGATTCAGTTTTGCTGAGAATATTACTGCAAGCATTATACAGCAAGCTATTACATAGTTTTTAATATGTGATTTTGAGAACTACTGGAGAGAGAGCATTCCATATGAGCAGGAACCTGAGGCTAGAAGTTAATAGAATAAACAGGTAGCAATATGCCATTGATATTGGGGGACCAGCCACACAATCATTCAAGGGAATGATTGTGCAGACAGCTTGCCAGGCTTGAAATCCCTATTCCTATTTCAACATACAATCTTGGGTTCCTTTGTTTCTTCCAGCGCAATCAGTATGTTGTGAACCGCCCTGTGATCTTCAGATAAAGGGTGGTATTATTATTATTATTATTATTATTATTACTTGGCTTTGGCCTTCCTTCCTTCCTTCAGCTCCTCACCCCCTTCTCTTTCATTGTGTCATAAAATCAGTAGCAGTTTTTTTTAAGGCGTTTTATGCTCTGATGAGTAGGCAGTCACTGTGGCAAAATATGCTGAACAGCTGATGTCAGGATTCAGTTCCTGCAGCTGCTTCTGCAATTATCTCTTCAGCCACCCTAGCATCTGATCTGAGCTAGGTTTCAGAGCATTTGGTGGGAGTTGCAGTTGTGGGCTAGACCCCAAAGCTTCTCTGCTTTAAGACCTTTTGGAACACAGTGTGTGGAGCAGCATTTACCATGTTTTGGGACTGCTGACTCCTCTAGGCAGCTATGCCTCACGGCCTCACCTCGGTTTGCCTTGTAAGCAAGCTATGTCCTGGTTTCTTTGTTATTTCTTAACTTTGCAGTTGATTCTCAGCTAGCTTTAGGGCAGAGTTTTCCAAAACCAACGTGACGACTCAAAACACATGGAGGGCTAACTTTTTAGATCTTACACAACAGAGGTGGTTTCACAGTTCAAAGAGAAAAAGAGGCATAGCTGACAAAATGACCTGTGACCGTATTATTCTTGTGCACACTTTACATCTTCTGCCTTTATTTCCATAAAAGAGGGGAATGCAATACACAAAAGCAATTATTCAACCCATCCTTTTCAGGAGCCTAGAAAGCCTTTGGCTTTTGGATTCATCCTTGAGTGGTGAACTCACAGGTTCAGCCTCTCTACCTCCTTCAACTCTGACTTGACTCATCAACTCATGACATTTGCTTGCCTTGCTTTGTTCCAGACCCAGAGTTTTTATTCCATGTGCCACCTTGAGCCTTTGTCTTAGAACTGATTCTCATAGTATTATTGATCCTGATCTTATTTGTGATCTTTGAGTGTTTTCCTGTACTAGAAATTGAGCCCTGGGCATGATGCTGTGTATCTGCCATGGTTTAGGTCCATAGTTTGGAACACATATTGATTAGGCACAGTATCTATGTACTTCATGTTAAATCATTATTGCTCTTAGTTTTTCCTTGAGGCTAGACTGGTGCCATCCAGTCTAGAGAAGAAATATTAGATGGGATGGGATTGTGAGTCGGGGGCACAGGGAAGGAGAGGAACACTTGAGAAAGAGAACTTCCCTCCACTTTCGTTTTGGGGAGGATTCTGCTGTTCAATCTCCACCTTCATTACACTACTCACTGGGTAACAGTCTGTATACCTGGTAAATTTAACATTCCTTGAGGATCTTTTATGGTGTTTTTAGACACCATACATTGAGATGTGGTTTTAGCAGTAGCTCCTGGCAGAGTTAGGGATTAGAACAGATATTAAAGGAAATCTATAAGTAGCTTATCTATAAATTAGTTTGTTGGTGCTTACCTCTGTGTTTGTGTGGTATAGCTATTATCATAGGCCTCATAAATTGGTTCGTCGTATTCACCCCCATATCCATCATCATATCCCTATAATAAAACACAAATTTGTAATTTAGAAGGTCAGTAAGTTATAAATAGTATTAGCCTGAAACAGAATTTTTAGAATACTATATACCTAACAGGCAGCACATTACACACACACACACACACACACACACACACACACACTTGCAAGAAACCTGAAAGAGTGTGTGTGGTATATATGCATGAATATATATATATATGAATGAATAATTTCAGCCCTGTTTTTATTTATCACCATAATGAAGTTTGTACTGTAAGAAAAAGGTGCTAATGAAACTCATTGTTTTCTCTGGAATTCAATATACAAATGCTTTTCTAAATATCTGCTAGTGAATAATAGCCACAGAAATGAACAAATGATTGCAAGACTATATTGATCTCCTTACCCCATTAAGAAGGTCATTATGGAGCATAAAACATACCATTCAGTTCTTTTTCAGAAAATGTGGTTTAACTTTAAGGCGAAAGCCACAGATAATAATTATAAATAACTGTTGTAATGAATGCCTTTTAACTTCCTTGAGCATTCATTCATTCATTCATTTATTCATCCATCCATCCCTGCTTCGATCTCCTCTGCCACAGCAACTAGCAGTGTGCATGGAAACACAGTGAAGGCATGATAAAATGACCCTTTCAAAGCAGCTATTCACCAGCCAGGTGAGATCAGATAAAGGAGCTGCTTTAGCAGCAAATTACTGAACATGATTTGTACTTTCAGGGTTCAGCTCTGCCTAGACCTAGGGTTTCCCTCGGAAAGGAGTAGGGGGAGCAGGACCCTCCAGCAGATCTCTGCACAGGAGCAGCTGGTGGGGAGAAGTGGTAGCATGCACCTGGCCTCCCAGCAGCAGCAGCAGCAGCAGCAGCAGCATTGCTACCACTTACCAGAAGGGAGAGGCAATGGGGAGGTTGGTGCTGTGTGGCCACGTCAGCAGGAGCAAGTGGGTTGGCTCCACCAATGCACCTACACAGCACTGGCCGGCCTGCCATCTCACCTCTCTCAGTAAGAGGTAGCAGCAGCATGGCTGGGAGATGAACTGTGAGCTGCTGCCCCTCTCCACTGGGCATTCCTGGCTCCAGCCATCCTCATCCCGGAACTGGCAGCTTCTATCCGAGTTGCTTGTCTCTTGAGCTTCCTGTCACCAGGGTCACAACAGCAGAGGGCATGGCAAGACGGATGGGAGTTTCAAGGTTGCAAGCAAAGTGCTCAGCTAGCTGCATGTGCGGCTGCCCAGGAGGGGAGAAAAGCCTGAATTAACAGCCTGGCTGACAGCCCAGAATAGGTGAACCTTCAGCTCCTACATAAGCTCTCAGTCTGAGCTGCTTCAACAACTTCCTTAGAGTTCCAAGTTTCACACTCCAGTGCAAAAATGGGGAAAATACCTAGATTTCAATGAAATGAGCACCAAATTTCAGAAGAGAATTCTGGTTAAAGGGGGGGGGTGAGCTATCTATTTGGATTGGTTCCAGAATTATCCCAGAAAAAATATATTAAAAAATCATAAAAATGTCCTGAGCTAGTCTGAGGGGTTTGCCTTGAGCCATTTGGGATTGTTCACATGTGGAAATGAGACTTGGAGAAAAAAACACAGAAGAGATACTTCGTGAACCACCCATTAGATAGAATGCAATTAAACACACAGAGACTTTAATTTTTAACCATTGACTTTTTGAGTACTATTGTACAAGGATGAAATGTGCGGCATTTGAGAATACAAGATCATTTAGTGATATTTTGCAGAAAGCACTGGAAGAGAAGCACATTAAAAAGGTCAGGAAAATTAAACGCTTATTTCAAACAGCTCTGGAATGGTAAAATAACTTCCTATTAACTTTCCTATTGCAAGTGTCTACTTCTGCAAGTTGCTATGCTTTCATATGAGCATCATAGATGAGGTGCAGAAACAAGTTCAATATGGGAAAGCACTGAGAGTTCATGACAAAAAAAGTTTCTTGAAATTAAAGCCTGTATGTTATTACTATATTACTACTACTAACTTTGCACTTCTATGCTAACAGATGCCAGCATTGCAAAATATAGCAACTGGCAAATGGGCATCACACAAAAGTGGGTTTCTTCCCCAGACTCTGCATTCCACTTGACTTGCCTTCCTATTTTAACATTAAGAAATTCTAAAACAAATTTCAGAATTTAGATATATTGCATATTTTTTGACCCTGAAAGCACTTCTTGAGAAACTGGTTTCACTCCAAAAAATGAAACCTCATTGCAGATTGATTCTGCATTACTCCATAGTGTGTCAATTGGAAAACATATTAAAGCAGATGTTGTCGGCAGTGGTACACCAAGATTGCAAGCACAATTTCCTCCTTCATTCACCTGGGGAAGGAGGAGGAGGCAAGGGCAGCCTAACCAAGGGGAGGGTTATCAAATGTGTATCAAGTCACCACACACACCCGTGTGAATGTCAGGATCTAGATTTAATCTAAATTGAAAGCAGCATGTTGAGGATGAGCATATATGATTCCAGATTGAGAGGGCAGGGGGGAAAGTGCTATGAACAGGTTAGTATGCAGCCAAGATTTTGCACAATGTCTGATCAATACATGCCACTGCTCATACATATCAATAATATGAATTGGGAGGAAAAAGAAAGATGTGAACAAATGGAAAGAACTAAAACCTACAGCAAACTGTGTGTGCACAGCCAGTAGAACAAAATGCAGAAGTTAAAAACAGAATGGCGAACTATTAGCCCACAGTGTTACTCTGTGATTGAGAGCAAGTCATTCAGAAGCCCCAAATCCAAGGAGAAATCAAGTGGGGACAGGGGGACGGGGATCACCTTTTATAAAAGCAGCTACATAATGCATAATTTTGTGGTTTGGCTTATGCTGGGATGGCAAGAAAAACAACGTAACCTTCACACCATCCTAAAGGATATATACTCTTGCACAAAGCCACCTTCATTTGGGAGCCCACAGTAATGGAGTTGCATGAAGCTTTATTCACGTGATGTACAAAGGCTATAGATACATGTAGCTGTAGCTGTATCAGTAGATGGGTTTGGACATCTACAGCATCAGGGCCATGAGACTTAAACCTCCCACATTCCATTTTCATTTATGTTTCAGTCTTTCTAAACTGTACCATCTCAATATGCTATTTTCCAACCTTTAATGTTTGCAATAAATATGCCTTGATTTCCACTCAAGCCCCATGTAAATGAAAGGCGATTGCATATGAACAGTGTTTATTATGCTTGAGACTTTTTAAAAGTGTGTTTTCCTAACTAAGGAGAGTCTACAGATTTCAAAGTGAAGCTCTGCTGCTGCCATGCATCATTTATGTGATTCCCCCCAACCCATTTTTAACTGACTAATAATCTCTCTGGCTAAACCTGTAGCTTTGAATGCTGGCAGAACTTGTCCCATTTATTCAGTGATGGTATTATTTTCCTTTGGGAATTGTGCATGAACTCTAGTGACTATGCAGAGTAAATCAAGAATGCTTACTCCCTTCAGGCCAACCTGAACTCTGCAAGTTACTATCAATAAATTGTGGAGCAAGTAATAAGAAATAAAGATTATGAACCTGTAAGGTTGATATTTTAACACTTCCTCACTACACAGGCAACTAAAAATGAGAGGCTGTGGCTAGAAGCTGCTGCCCAGTCAGAATCAAGCCAGAATCCCATATCTGTATGTCTTACTGCATTTGTAATACTGACCAGTGCAGATGTAACACTGCCTCTCCTTTTCAGTTTAAGAGCTGACATTGGCTGTGTAAACACCAGGGTTCCCCCCGCCCCCCTGCCAGAACTCACCAGAAGTCAGTTCCAGCACCTCTCAGATGGGCACCATTGCCATTATAAGAGAACAAGGGAGGCGTTCACAGTGAGTTCTGGCACCTCATTTTCTATAAAAATAGCACCGGTACGCACTATAACTTTAAAGCACATTTGAAGCACATCCTTTTCCTCAAAGGATTCTGAGAACTGTAGTTTACAGAGTTACAATTCCCAGCAACCCTTAACCCAGAATTCTTTGAGGGGGGAAATGTGGTTCATATATGCTTTAAAGCACTGGTTTTCAACCAGTGTGCCATGGCACCCTGGGATGCCTTGAATGATGGTCAGGGGTGCCACGGGCAACACTGGCCTCCGTCCCTCCCTCCCTCCTCTGATGGCCTCTCGTGTCTCTGCCTCCCATAGGCTTGCACAGCTGTTTATTGCAGCAGCCCTGGCAAGAATGGTGCCTCAGTATGACAGGCACCTCTCTTTGGGGCAGGGGGAGGAGCTCAGAGACCTTGGCCAGAGGACTCTCAAGGAGAGGGGAGAGGAGAGGAAGCTGAGGAAACACTCCACAAGGGAGGGTGTTTGAAAAAGGGTGAGAGGCTGCCAGCTCTGCAGGCAGGGGGTAACATAACTGGGCTCCTGAGCCCTACGGGGTGCCGCAGAAAGAATGTAGTTGGTTAAGGGAGCTGCGGGGTCAAAAAGCTTGAAAACCTTTGCTTTAAAGGACTAGCATGCACACCACTGCACTTGCGAACCCACAGCCCTGTGATTAAGAGTTTCATGCTCAACCTACTGAGCTGTTCTGTTTGCCAATGCTACTGTGTTGTTATTGTCTGGAAGGGCTGTGGGGCGGGGGGAGGAACCCCACAACATATTTGGCATGAAAAGTTATGGGATTCCAGCTGGAAGTTAGAGGATATGCACTAATTGGAAAGGAAGCAATGTGCAACTGTCCCAAAACTTTTGCTGCTGCAAATAGTATTGAAAGTAGGATTACATACGGCTTCTCCAACGGCATCATGAGTGCAAATAGTCATGAATAAGCTATAAAGAGGACTCCTGCAGGGGAAACCACAATGTCCCCACCCCATCTTCTGTGTGATGCCAATGAACCAGTAGCCACAAGGCGGCTGCTTGACATCGCTTTCAATAGAGGCTGCTGCACACAGTAGAGTGTTTATGGCAAAACAGCAGCTCACCACAAAACCTGTCAACTCGAACTGCAGTTAATTTGTCAATGTAACATGTTCTGTGATTGCTCCAGCACAGTAAGGGCCAATTCCAAAGTAACACAGATTTATATTTTGAAAGCTATTACATGAGAAACTACCCATGGAGCTGTACAGGAGCGTAATTCCTCTGAATGGAATCATTAGCAGAAGCTTTGATTTCTGTCTGTTGTTGCAGAAAAGTTGAATGAATAACAATTTCCCATGTAATCG